AACGAAAATGAAAATTTGCTTGATAATTCAACTACGCTTGTTGGAGAACAATAAAAACACTACACTCAACAAGCCACCAATAAAACTCAACTGCCTAACCTATAACCAAAGTCTCCTTTTAATTTGTTTTTTAAAAAAAGCGCTTGACAAACTTGCCCCGCATGCCGAAGTTGCCCCGATCTCCCCTACATTTAAAAGAATTTAAGTAACAATTTAAAGATTTCTTATATATTCTTTACAAAGCATGCCATTTTATTTACATATTGTATTAAGCACTTGAATGTAGAGCCTATAGCGTAAATTTTTAAAATTATAAAATTTTGATGTTATTCCTGAAAAGTGTAGAATTTATCTGTTGCTATAAAAATAAATTACACATAAAATTCTTATATTACCTGAAGCTAGTTTCCATTCTACAAAAAACTTTTCTATCGGGCTGTTTCCTATATAAACAACATTCCAACGCAAAGTTGCACTCCTACTATTTACATCTGTAGCTCGAACGTCTGTAGGAGGATCGGGTGGTTCTGTTATAAATAAATAAATATATATATATATAAATTAAATATTATACACAATATAGTTTAAAATAAATAAAATATTTTATATGAAGTTGCGAAAAATAAATTGATCCGTTGTCAGTCAACGTGTTGAGAAGTAAATTTGATGTTCAAAGTATGAGAGGTAAGTTCAGATAAAAATAACTTTAAAAAATGATTTAAAATTTGATAGGTTTAAAAATTATAGTTAATAATTTAATAGATTTGAAATTATATTTCGTTATTTCCAATATATTCATCAACAAAATAAAGATAGTAGAAATAAAATTGTGAGATATTTATATAATTATAAAAACGTAAATTTAAGTTTTATAAAAATACTTCTTTAAAATTTATCAATTATTATTATTATTAAAGTTAATAATATCATTTACATAAAATCTGTATTATGATCTATGAGATAAATAATATAAATTAGAAAATAAACATTTCAATAATGAAGTCGTCATATGAAAGTATAATATAAAATATAACACTAAATTTAGTAATTTTAAAATTAAAAAAAAGCATTTAAAATAGGATAATTCTAATAAATTGTAGAATTTGTGATATATTTAGTAAAAAATTATCTGTTTTTTGATCTAAAATAGCTATAATTATTTTATCTCAACTAAAGATAATAGGCGAAGACGAAAGAGGAGATAGGAGCTATTTGTCTTATTATGACCAATAGAGATTTATGGCTAGGAGACAATATCATCCTCAGTGATCTCCTGAGTAGAGACCTGCAGAGACAGGAAAAACTGATGTAGCTATGTTAAAACAATTAGCTATTAGTAGACGAAACGTTCCTTAAGGGCGACCATAAGTTATAAATAAAATTATAATTTAAATTTGTTTCATTCTTTAACATTTAATAATATAACGTCTCAATTTATCTTTAAAAATTATAGAAAAATAATTCGATATTCTTGCTAAAATTGAATTTTCAAAGTTAATATTGATTTGAGATAAATATTATAATATTGTTATTCAGTTAAAACCATAAATAAATCAATATTTAAATGAAATTTATTATTAGATTTATTTTTATTTGATGAGTTAATTTCATATTTAAAGAAAAAATCAAACTTATACAAAAGTGATAATATAATAGAAACAATTTCATTTAAGCAAAATTTCAATAAATATATCGATTTATCGACAGCGATGCGAAACGTTATGTCTTATCTATGCAAAGATTCTTCACCATTCTCCCACTGATAAGATTATTATGCATTATCTTTGTAAGATTCTAAATCTCTAAAAAAGTAGGCTACATCATAAAGTAGATTCGAGATTGGATGCCAATCATCGAGAATGTTTTGTTCAGTGTAGCATGATCTTCATTTATCGAGTTATTTATTATCGTTGCTATACGACTGCTATGAGATAACCTCAACTATCAGATACGTGGTTAAGAAATGGTAAATCAGATAGGACTCTGTAGAGACTCTTGTTCAATTAAATAAATTGCCAATTTATCACTGAACTTTCAAAAACGTCATCATTTATATATTTCAAAAATGTTCTTCCAAAATCTTATACAAGTTTTTATATAATATAATTATGTTCGTGTAGAAATAAATAGTTACCGCAACTTCACGTCTTAATTAATTACAGAATACTTGCTGTTTGCAACCAATAAATATTAACAGAGTTTAGTTATTTATGTGTACGATTAAATTTTCGTCACAAATTAACTTTATTATCTACTTTTAATCACTTATGTTACATTTGATTATGTAAAGTAGTTTCAAATTTCCGACAAAATCCAGGAACAATTTATCGTATCTTAAATCTAAACATCATTCGATATTTTGAGAAAAATTAACTTCATGCCTAAGCCAACCATTATAAATTTCTCTACATGATTCCATAATTTGCTGTTATTTTCAGTTTTTCCACTAAAAATTAATAGGGACTGAATGCAAAGACATGACTTATAGTTTTTTTTTAAATTTTAAGTCATGTCTTTGCATTTTCAATCGCTAGTAATTAGATATTCTATAATAAACTACAATATGATAATTAACGGAACGTTAATATATAAAGAAGACTAAAATCTAAATTAAATTTTTCACAAATAAGGAGAAATTCAGTAATTATACACAGAATTTTAATTTTTTAAAAATATTTTAAGCAGAACTACTTATACACAATTTTATGGTTACAGTATTGTGTAATTGTATTAAAGAAAATAACCAAAGGAAATTTTTACAGGAACCATGTTTTTTTTTTCTATTATATAACGTTCTTGACAAATAGGAAATTATGTGATACTTTTATTACAGTGCCTGAAATATTTCTGTGAAAATATACCAGAAAATATTAAAAGATAATATCTGTTAGGAAAAGATAGTTTCCGTGGATTGAATAAAATTCTCATGATAAATCCTAAGTTCAATAACATTTGCAATGTGTTTTCGAATTGAAGAAGTACTTTCGATTCTGAGACATGACAGCCGAATGGCTGCAGTGGTTAAGGCATCAATCTACCGCTATGGGAGGTGACCCAGAAATTTTTAGGGGTGATTTTTCCCGGATGTATCGAACCCCGTCTCTCATCATCCAGCAGTCACATTGTATTCCAGACCGAAACCACGATAGGTTTGATTGAAAAGGTTTGAGGAAATAAGGGAACGCAAGACTTGAGAGATCTGCCAAAAAAAAGTCATTCTGAAAGATCTTTCTATGCGAAACTGGCATATTCAGGTATTACACATGTAAAGCAAATCCGAAAAACTTCACGCGGCTAGCCCGCTGGTGAGGTGCGATCTTGCGGCCAACTATCAATGTTCATAGTTTTATTCACTCTGTCTTGATTAAAATGGCTTCTTAGAACCAGAGAGCAGGAAAAGTCAAAATATGAAAAAAAATCTAAGATATAAATAAAATTTTTAACTCAGAGTTTAGAATAATTTTTAAAATATTCTCTTATGATATTTATCACATATATACAAAATGTATTCCGCGAGGAACTGACAGTTTTTTGCAGCGTGTTTTAGAGGCCTAGGGGGTCCAAAAATATCTATAAACATAGCCCTTCGAATGCATTATTTCAGTTCTAGAAGGAAGTAAATTTCAGACTAGCAACCCCTTAAGATGCTACTCTACAGTACTTCGAAGCGTTGCGGAAAAGCCTCAATCTCGTTGTCCTTCAGAGGTTTGTTTGCATTTCTTGACTGTGGTATAGTACAGAAGCTAACGAGCAGCGAGATTGAACTTTTCCGCAGCACTTAGCAGTGCTTCAAAGCGGAATTTTAAGGAGTAGCTAGTCTAAAACTTATCCTCTTCTATGACTGAAACGATTCGTTTAAAGGGCTATTTTTATAAAACATTTTTGTATTCCCCTAGGTTTCTACAACACACTATAACATATAGCCACTATCTGTATAAGGAAACTAACCGAAAAAAAATTAATTTATTTAACAAAGTATTATTCGATTAAATTTTTATCTTCTGTATCATAAAAGAATATACAACTTCTTATTTTATAAAAATTTAATTACATACAATTTATTACAGATATTTATATATTTAAATATTCAAATAATATCTGACTTTATCTAATGTTTTATATTTTATTTCAAGACTTAGACAAAAGTAATTCTCTCATTANGTCGTATAATCATTTTTTTAAAAGTAAATTTTCAAAATGTTTCCAATTGGTAATAATATACAGCAAAATATAAAGTTACATAAGAAAAAAGGAAAGGAATATTATCATCTATAAATCCAAAATTGAAATTTTTATTCAAAAATGGCGGATATTTGCAATGTGCATTAGATGGTTGAGTTATTTCAGTTGGGAATTCTGATTTTACGATGGTTGTTTGTATTAGAAACCTGAAGCAAGTTATTTATGAGTGCCAGAGAGAAGTTATGCACTATCTGACTGATAATGCCTATCATCGTAAAAGTTAGTGTTTCCAGCCCATCTAGCTGAGTAGGATATTAGCTGTAAGATATAAAGTGTGGATCTTTGGATCTTCCAAATAATCCCTTTGAATAGATTGTTTCCATGGTTATTTTATATGTAGATTACTAAACCAAATCATTATTTACTTTTCTTCTTACAAACATCTGAATATTTCTGATATTTTCAGTTTATTTTTAAAATTGTAGTGTATTTTTTTAAATGCAACTCTCAATTAAGATATAAAAAATTTTTAATGTGTCAACTCACCGTTAATTGGATTATCACGCTTTATTTCCCAAGATAATACAACGGAAGAAGAAGATGATGATGATATACGTAGCACTGGAGTACTTGGTGGATCTAAACAAATATATATAAATATTATTTTAAAATAATATATAGATATTTTTCGAATTAATTAGTCAACAAATTCCAAAATATTTCAATAATTAAATTTATATATCTGCTATAGTCTATTAATATTATTATATAATAACTAACTTCATTAAACTCATACGGCGCGATCATAATCTAATTACGATATAATGTATAGTAAAAATAATTTATGGTAATCGTAAAACGATAAAAATAATTTAAATCATATTAGAAAATAACGTTATTTTCAAACATAGAAACTTTAATAAAAAGTAATGAAGAATAAAATAATAAAATAAAAACGATTATAATTTTGAAAATATGCGCCAGATGGCAGCACATAACATTTAAGAAGTTCAGTACATAAGTTTTGTAAGTACTGTACAATACTCGTACGCGAGTTCATCTAGTTATGTAGAATTTTTAAAATAATTTAAAATAATTAATTTTTATATTTTGCAAAATAATGTTTATGCGAAATAATGAAATAATCAACCATAAATTTTTATTAAAACGTCATTTATAGTAAATAGTAAACGAAAGGAAATACAATTATCTTTATGATCATTTTAGGTAATGGTTGAATATTTCGNTTTTGATAAATCTCTGGAAAAGTATATATTTATGTAAATTATAACATAAAATGTATCAGAAATGCTATTGAAGCGTTTATTATATACAGTGGTACAGTACCTCGTAATTAGAACGCTTCAGAGTTCGAACGATTCGGAGTTACAACGGCCTCTTAGAGTGAATTAAATTCTAACTACGAAGCACTACTGTATTCTACAATTTTTTCTCAGTATTAAATTACTTTTACAGTATATATTTAAAGTTGTGAGACTACACTTTTCGATAAAAAAAATTATAGACTTACAACATTAAATAAAATGTTAATTTATAAAAAATATAAAAATTTATTAATTATTGTATTATAAATCTCGCGAATTTGTTATATTTTTGAGAATAAAATTAAAAGTTTTCCTTAAGGAATTTCAGAAGTATGTTAAGTAAAACATAAAACGTTAGCGTTGTAGAATATGTTATTCAGTAAAATGTTATATATAAGACAAAGCTGGGTTAGAATTGTGTTAAACAATGGCATGTGATATATTGATACATATAGAGTAAATATTAAAGGGTAAAATTAAATTAAACATATTTTTAGTGCCAAAGTTATGTGTCAAAATGCTAAATTATAGTTCCATTTAAAATAAAACGATTTTTATTCCTTACACTCTAATAAAAGTTTAATTATACACATTGTTTATTATTGAATGTACGACTTTTAATGAATGCGTTTGAATATTTTACTCCGCTATTTTGTATGAACCTAAATTTTTGTTAAGATATTGGTTAATATACGTACTATCAATTGTAGTTTTATTTTATTAATATTAAACGAATTTTACTCTGTTCTTTGCCAAATTTATTTTTGTTTTGATAATATAATAGAGTTGTTGTGAAATGCAGAAGTCATTCTATGGGCTTCCCTGTTTAAAATTCGTAAAAACTATGTAAACTCACTATACTTTATGCGAAGAAAAATACCATATTCACTGATGGAAGATGTGGATAAAGCATTACTAGGACATATTCCTTACATTACATTCTCGAAACTCTGTTATCTAATTTCTCGGATATCTAAAGATCAAAGAACATTCCTCCATGTTTAAGATATTTCATTAAGTTTCTAAATGATATATTATTATTTCTTTTAGAATCCATTCAATTCTTTTTATAAAGTTTTAGATCTTTATTTTCGATTCAATTAAATAGAAAAAAAACAAATAATGNTTATTCTAATACTAAATCAGCATTAATTCAAATCTGCTACGAATATAGAATTTCCATAAATTATGCACGAAACACTATTAATTACTATAAACAGTTTATATTTATATGTAAATATGATAAAGGAAACTATACTAAATATAAATAAAGATAAATCAATGTATAAGAATATTCTCACAGTAAAATATATTTAAACACATTATTTAACATTTTAACTAATTTGATGCATTGACATTCATTTAATTGCTCTTATTTTACTGCAATAACAATAAAGAAAGATTAACATGGATTACGTTAAGCTCTCTTCCTACTTGTTTACAGGAAAATGGCTTTAGTTATATTTCTACTTCAATATTAGATTACTCATGGTTCATTTATTAGAAAGTCCTACAAATTTTTAATATATTTACATTACTAAAAACCAATATAGTTATATCTTAATAGTTTATTTGTTTAAACATTTATCTACAAAAGTATTTTATAAAATTTAACTGTTTATAATTTATTATTCAGAAATTACGTGTTTTTATATCGTAAATCAAGTAAAAAAATCTAGCAACGAGTTGCTTAATTTTCCCGGCAACCTTTAAACTGTGGGTGGCGCCATCTGTTATAATATTTTATTTAAAAACTTTTTATATTTTTAATTATTATAAAATAGCAAATAATAGCAAATAGCTTAATTTGGGGGTGGGGATGGGTTTTATAAAAATTTGTAAATGCTAATAAGGAGTAAAACCGTCATTCAGTCCGGACTTAATGACGGTTTTACTCCTTATTAGCATTTACAAATTTTTATAAAACCCATCCCCACCCCCAAATTACTCCTACTATAGGCCTACTATAATATATATCCTCTTTATTTCCCCACTGCTTCGACCTTTAACCACTAAAATTTAATAACATCAATCCCCTTAATACACAAACCTCCCTGCAAAATTTCAGAAATTATTGACAAAAAGCACAGGAGTTATTAAACTTCAAAGAAGATGTATTACGTTTTATCTGTTATATATAACAGAGCTGGAAAAGTAATACATTTTAAATACTATAACAATTATTAAAAATTTAATTTATTAATACTTTGTACAAAATATAAAATATTAAAAATCCACTTAGTTTATAAATCATTTGAAAGTCTTTACTTCACAGTTTCGTTAGTACCTATGTAAACAATTGAAGCAAAATTAAATGATGGTATCATAGGATTAAATAGAAATGCTTTTATCGGTTCATTTGATGTATTTAACTGATTAATTTATTTAATTAAATATCTCTTTATCTTTACTCTGTACTAAATTAATTTACTTTTAAAAGAGTTCGGTGCCTATTTTTAAATTTTCAACTTCATGTATTTAATTTCTAATTTTGTTCCTTGTTATTAAAGTTAACATCGCTTGATTTATTACTTCATTTTAGAATCATATTACATAAAGCTTTGATTTAATTAAATAAATCACTCTTAAAAAATTAAATGCATTGTATAAATTTGTTTTTGGTACCACAAAATTTATAATTAATTAACATTAAACACTTAACTTCTTTAAAGTGATAAATGCTTATATTCAAAAAACTATTAAAAAGTTTTAAAACTTTGTAGTGATTAAATATATTCAAATTTCCATTAAGAAGTTCTTATATTTAATGCAGTTTTCAAGTTATTGTCATGTTTTCATAATAATATTTCTAAAAAATTTATTAAAATCAGAGATAAAAAATAAATATGGAAAAAATTAAGGAAAAAAATAATTCAACATAATTTTTGAAATTTTATACTATATTTTGAAAGAAATATAACAAAATTATTCTGGTAAAGCAAGAAAAAGGCTCTTGCACAATTTTCCAGCACTCATAATTTATGAAGTTAAAGTTCTGTGTGGCGCNAAAATTTCCTCGGGGCTCCTGTTCTAACTTTAAACAAAATTAAAATGTGGACATTGTTGAATTTTAAAACCAAATTAAAAACTTTTAGATTTTAAATTGATTTTCAATGTTATTTTTCTAATATATACGAAGAGTTGGCCGGATAACCGATACGGTTAAGCCGTTAACCAATCGTTCTGAGTCTTGGCAGAAAACCCCAAGAATTATTTATGGGCGCTCTGTCCCGGATATGTGGAACTCCATCCCTTATCACCAGCCGCTCCATTGTAGGCCTGATCGAACCCACGACTTTGGGAAAGCTCTCTTTATTCTCGAAGGGCAGAAAGAATCAAAAGTTATATATACAGTTAAACCTGTCTAAACCGGACTCGTACGGTATCGAATAATTTTTCCGGTTTGGCAGAATTTCGTATTGAACGGGTTTTTAACACAGAAAATCGCTGTGTTCTTAAGAATTTCTCTCATTTAGGCAGGTTTCTGTTTTATTAAGGTTCCGTTTTTTGATAGATTCTACTGTATATTAATTCTATGATTTAAATCATCCGACATTATTATCAATATGACAATGAAACGGTATGTTAAGACATAGCTTTTTTGTTTTTTCAGGCATTCGACCATAATAAAATCAGTACCGCTAATAAGAATAAATATTAACTTACTAATTACCATTATAACAAAAGTTATTCCATCACATTTTCTTTAAATAAAATTCTACCTAACATATTTTCGCTATTTGAATGAGATAAAATTTAATTCAAACCTAAACAAGGTATTAGTAGGATTACAAGTCACCTCTTTTATAATATAATCAGATTAACCTTAGTTAATATTAAACATTAATTACTCCTTACGTTATTTAAATAAAATGTTGTAATTAAAGATTTCTTTTAATTGAAAAGATTAAAAGTTTAATTTATACATTTGAAATGTTTACTGTATTTTTACGCATTGCTAATAAAATAAATGAGTAAATTACAATATTTTGATTACCTTCCACTAATACTTGTATCTTTAATTCATCTTTTCCGTAGGCATTAGTGGCGAGACACGAGTACACACCAGAATCTTTTCGATCAGCTCGATTAACTGTCAAAACCGACTGCAGCCCTTCTGTTGTAATGTTTTCCTTAATTATGTATCTAAGACGATAAAAATAAATGTTTTATACTCTACAAAATGATTTTTAAATTATAAATTACTTTCTAAAAACTTCCAATTTAAAACTTCTACCTTTAAAAATCATTTAATTGAATGAAAAAAATTATATATATATATATAAATAATATATTTATAAATTCTTTAAATTTATAAAATGGCATTTCAATAATGTATTTTCGTAATCGATTTTATATGATAATTTTTCTTACATTCTTCTTAATCTTACTAGAGAAACGAACTGAATTTAAGCGGAAAAAATTCTTCATCTTATATATTATAAAATTTTTATTACATATACGTGGAAATTATTATTAATATATACGTTTAAAGAAGAGAAGTGAAGTTATATCAAAAATAATGTATAGGTTTTTGCAATATTTGACATGCTGGAAAGTTGAGATTAAAGCTACTGTTTCCTTTATAGCAATGGAAACTTACTATAAATTTCTATTGATTTGAAAGGTTTTGATCATAAAAATGCCGAATATCAAATAAATACACACCTAGTATCCACCGAAGATTTTATATAAACTTTATCTTTACGCCACTCGATATTAATGGGTCTTTCACCGTAGGCTTCGGCTTGTATGTTAAGTACACTTCCTTTAGGGACACGTTGGACTAAGAAATTCGTTTTAAAGTGAGCAGCGACTGCGTAGAAGATATAAACATTTCAAAAATTTATAAAACGTGGAAGAAAATATATAATAAATGGATACAAACCATGAACGGATAATCGTACAACTGTACTGAGCTCGGCTCCAAAACCGTTAGTTATCTCGCATAGATATTGTCCAGAATCTTTAATCTCTACATTATTAATACTAAGTGAACCGTTTTCTAGTGTCTGTATATGATAATTACTGATAATTGATTTGAAATTTCTCTTCGAAGTTTCATCTGTTAACAATTAATAATTCTCTTTTATTAATTTGATGCGTTGTAAAAAAATTAAATAATAAATATAAGAGAAAATAAAAACAATAAATATTAATTAATATAAATATAAATATAAATATATATTTATAAATCAGTTATTTAACTTGAATTTTTTAATTCAGTTTACGACTAGAAGATGGCGCTAAAATAGCAAAAATTGTTTAAAAATAAGAATTATTTTAAAAAAATTTTGAACGTGTTTTGATTTTAAAAATGTATTTAAATATTTGGTAAAGGTGTTAAAAGTTTAAATGAAACTATAACAAAATTTATTACGAAGCGAAAGAGCTTATACGGTGTCTTGTTAATTCTGCTTTGGAGACTGAATATTTACAAGTAATAAAGTGATATGAGAAATTTAAAATTCAGAACAGAATTAACATCACTGGAGTAAGACAGAATTAGTTGCATGCATTTGATTTGACTTAAATATTATAAAAGTGGATATACAAGGCAATATTAGATCGATATAGCTCACTTGCGACTGATTCATTAGTGACACTTTAATCAAACATCGTCGTTGGCATAGAAATGATTGCTATTAGATATGCTAATTTGCATCGAGTGCGAATAAAACTCAAAGGACTAATATCGGAAGCAAGCAATCGTTTTATACAATATTAAACAATATAGCGAAAAATCTATAATACCTATAATAAATAACCTTAATTTTCTAATCAGATAAATTAATAAAATTTGTGATGTGAATAACTTATAAAAATACTTCTCGACATTGTGAATAATTTATATAATTAAATAGTTAATTTTAATACCTAATTACTGAATAAATATAATTAGTATACCTATAGCTTTTTTCCATCTTATCAAAGGTGGGGGATATCCTTCGGCTTGACAGTCGAAAATTACCAGATCTCCCACTACTACAGACATATCTGTAGGTTCTATTTTCCAACGAGGAGGTACTGAAAAATTAAGAAATATTATATATTAAATTTATAAACTTGCATTAAAAAATCTACTAAATGTTTAAATGTAAAGTAACGTATTAAAATTTTTATTTGTTAAATTAATATACAGTATAAAATAAATTTTTCTAGCTACTTTAGTTATGAATTTTCTCGTTAAGTTTATTATAGAAATATTGATATTTTCTTTACTATTTTTATAGCTGTAAATGTCTGGAATCTGAAATAACTTATATTTTCTATGCTGTATATTCGTATACAATATAAAAAAAGTCCTGTTTTATCACAAATATTGATTCATTTTTAACTTTTATCGCGTGGACCTTCTTGCAAAACATCCGACCATCCTAATAAAATTAATGCTACTTACTATTTGATGCTCATAATTTAAAAGTATTTCGAGGTATTTTAAAATCTCTTTATTGTCGAGAATTTCCATAAAAAAGATAACTTAGATAACGTTAAAAAAATTGCTTCATTCCATTCTCTAAAGGCTACTTTAATGTTTTGTTTTCTGGACACGTAGATTTGTACATTTTAAAAACATATTTCCTGCTATTTTAAAATTATTTGTTTAAAAATTTCATAATATTTTGCTGTATAAAAAAAGAAACATTCGTCTAGTTGTAACGATTTCGATTTGAATTTTTTCAATTAGAAAATTGGAGATAAATATAGAAACAGGTAATGAGATATAAAGCAATATATGATTTTAACAGACGATATAATTTAATAAATTACTAACTGTGAAGCAAAAGTACAATAAAATAAATGCACTTACTTATAAATAGCATTCGTTGCTAATGTTTGCAGATATAAATCTAAAAGGATTACATTCGTGCCATAAACTACACAGGGACTACTAACCGTTTACTACCATTGCGGCCGTATAATTAGTCGTTCCAGCCTCATTACTAGCAACACACGTATAGTTGCCATTATGAGATCTTCCCACACTATTAAAGACGAGAGAAGAACCAAAGTCTCGAAGAGACGATTCCTCAACATTCAAAGACTCTCTGTTTAATGGAAACTCATCCTTCAACCATCGGATAGTTATTGGTGGATCGCCTGTCAGAACGTTGCATGTTGCAATAACTCTCATTCCTTCAGCCAGAACGTTAGGAAAACTAAAGGAATTTATGACCGGTTTTTCTAAATATGAAAGAAGAAAAAGTAATAACTTCCTGTTACGGTAATACGGAGAAATGTCGTGACATATTGCTGATTACTCACTTGTCACTCTAATGATTAAGTCGGCTCTGGTCTCTTCTCCCTTTTTATTGTTAGCCAAGCAGGTATATGTACCTTCATCAGTTTCTCTAGCGATATCATTAAGAATTAAAGTCCCATTAGAAAAGACTTGTTGTCTTTCGTTTAAAGGCAGTTCTCTTCCGTCTACAGAAACAATCATGTTAACATTAAATCTTAATATAACGAATTGTAATAATTTAATGACATTATATAAAATCCAATAAAATTAATTTTGATTTAATTATAATTCTATACATTTAGCCATTACCAATTGAGATAAAAGGTTTAGTTTTGATAAAATTCAGGAATACAGTAATAACTTTAGTGATATTTTTCTTTCTTTCGATAGGTGGTTTTCTGGAAATTGCACTTTAGATAATTTCATAAACTGTTTTCTTCAATCAATGTAATAGTTTTTTTCTTCTTCTTTATGTTTCGATCAAGAAATTGTGTTTGCACTTAATCTTAAAAATTATGTTTATAAATTCCAAATCATTAAAAAAATTTAAATTTAAATTAAATATCAATTACTTAGTAAATTTATAAAGTTATTGTTTAATATCATATAATTATAAAACATTTTACATTAATAATAGATTTTTTAAGTTGATTACTGCATTTTTAGCTATTATTATTATATTATTATTGTAATTTATATGAATTTAAAATGAATTTAATTCAAAATAATTACAATGGAGAGAAAGCAGAATATGCAAAATGCAATGGATGGATCAGAAAGAAGCTGAAACAGGTTAACATAAATTATTAATGATGATAGGTTTAGTATACAAAAATTATTTTACATTAATGATTGCGTATGTAATACATAATACATGTTTGTAATGATAATTTGTAAATTATCTTTACAATCATACGCGCTATTGATAGCTTATACTTATAATAAATATGACGTAAGATAATATGCATCAATAATTTGGGCTAAGATTTATTCATTTTTTATCTTTCTCGATGCAGTTTCATTCAACCTTATTACTGAGACCATTTCCTTTTTTCCTCCATTCAACGAGTACAATTTTTATACGATATAGATCATTCGTTAATATATCTGGTCCATCGTTCATTGTGAATTCTGTTCACATTTCCTTTCGATATCTAAATTTGTTGCGAATATTTTATACCAAGATCTACGTGCAATTACCACGAAATATAATAGTTATACATTTATTCCTATTATAAAATTCATTGTTTTTGCGAATTCTCTTCTGCTATCTAAACTTCAATATTGAATTATTTGAAATTTGTAAATTATTTATAATTTATAAAAACAAAAACTTATCTTTATAAATACTGAGAAATACGTAAATATTTTCCCTTGGAAATTAAATTTATATTTGTTTTTAGTTTTAAATTTTAGTTTTTTTTTTAATATTTACCCATTCTGTTAGCAAATTCTGTATTTTCAGTCAGTATTGATTGTCCAAGTTTTTGGTTTTTATTAATATTTTAATTTTATTTCAAATTTTTTTTATATGGTTAATTCGGTTAGCATTTATTTTTGAGACATTTAACGTTTTTCTAGATCAATATAACGTCGTTTGCGAACTCTGGAAGACATATTTATTTTTAAATACAATTCTTACTGTTGCTATAAACAATTTAAGAGAGAATGAACTTTTCTTTGTCTTATTTCCACTGCTATTTTTTTTTTTGTTTTGTTTTTTAAAGAAATTCCTTAAAGAAATATTTCTTTTCATTATATATTTAAATTATTTTTGTGTTTGAAAATAACATTTCTATAGTAATGATGATGTTTACTTTATGAAATTTGTGGTTATATTAAATGTGTAAATGAAAATTTTTCATTCTTTTTTTCAATTTTTGGTTCTTTTTATCATACAATAACAAATATTCTGTTCTTACTTATAAGCAAACAAAGACATTTTTTATGATTAAGAACAGAAGATTTTAGTTTTCTTTTTTATTAAATTTTATACTGGAAATATTGAAAGCATATTAAATTTAATATAAACAAGGGGTTTCCAATCTTGTCGCTGGTGACCCGCGAGAGGTCAGTCAATTTAATCAATAAATCGATACATTACTAATGGGTGTCGATAGACAAATTTTCATTATATATAATTATTAAAAATATAATAATACTAATGAATACGTTTGCATTTTAATGAAGTAAAACAAAAATTGGAATTTTTATTTATGTTTAATTAAAAATATTCATCAGTTTATAGTTAATTTTTTCCTGTTTGTAATTTATTCGTATTTTGTATCTGTATAGAGAGGAAGTAGTGAATGAAATATAATCGTGAAAAGGGGTTGATAAGCATAAAAGAATGAGGAACCTTTCGTAAGCATATTTAACTTGCAACATCCTGTCTTAAAATAAACTCACATACACAATAGTCAATATTGAATTAAACATTTGTTGAAAAAATAGGTTATTGGTTATAATAATTAACAAAACTATAAAACTAAAACAAATTTATAAGTTATGTGTTAATTATAGTGTTTCATCAACATTATACGTATACACTAACCCGCTTTTCTCTCAGGGATTTGACTCATAAAATGACTTATTAGCTTAGCTTAGGAATATCATTCATCAGTCTGATTAAATTCCATATTTGTGAGATTATTAAATGATCATTTGCATTCAAATCCTCTTAAATCTACTTTCGTTCATCTCGCACAACTTAATTCCATTGTTTCATTCAACTTACAAGTCAATGCTGTTTCTATTCCTTAGCAAGAATCTTCCTAACTCAAGCATAATTTTCGACAAGATACTTAAATTTAACACATGCATCAGTAATCTCGTTAAAATTCTTGCTATCAACTATAGCATGTTTCTACAACATTCCACGTTAAGTTATATTTAGTTAAATTCTTTCTAAAGTTTTTGTCCATTTACTGGATGGTTTTGTTTTTGTTAAGGGTTTCTTTATATTGTTAGCTGAAGAAATAGTTTTATACATAAATCTAAGTTGGTTATATATATTCCTTTTTATGAAATAAATAAATACTTTTTAGTATTCTGGAGTTTTTTAAGGTTTAAAAGTATTTTATCATGACAAATAGAGTCAACAAAAGAAGCTTTCTAAAAGTCAACTACGAATCACTCATAGCGTTTTTTTTTTTTTTTTTCAATATACGACTTATACTATTGTGGAAGTCAAATCGAAATTTTGCTATATCTGCAAATTTTAACATTTTCAAAGCATGCCGATATGTCTTTCAAAATATTTCTATTTCCTTTAAAAATTCTGCGGTTTTGGGAAAAAAGTAAACAAATTAGTTGTTAGTTTGAAAGGTCTGGTTTATCATTTCTTTTCTGATAGGATATTAAGAGTGCTTAGCGTAAATCACTGTTCTGGCTTTCCTCAAATGTTACTATCACATATGACTTATTTGTCATCGTTTAGAATTGAAGTGATCTATAGCTTTGTATCGTTCTATCAAAGAGCCATCTTCTTTTTCTGAGGCTTTTAATGTTTTTCATTACTTTTACAACGTTCGCTGACTCTAAGAGTTTTATGGTTTCTGTTTTTACTCGTGTCTATTCTTTGATTCAATTAATCTGTATTATTTTATACAGCACTGAAGATAACTTTTCGTGTCTGAAATTTTAGCAATAGTATCGAATTATATATATATAGTTTTTTTTTCTTTTAGATACATTGTCACCATGATCGATCGCTGATATAAGCGTATACTCCCTCTCTTGATGTAAAAAAATGGCTATAATTTTACATTTTATTATTTTATTTTTTAACTTCCCACATATTTTAATAAACAAAAAATATTTACACATTTAAAAATATATTTATGCATCCAATTATATTTCTATTTACAAGACTTCGACAGTTTCTTTACATATAAAGAATTTTGTATCGAAACAAACTAATAGTTAATTTGTTAGAATAAAATCATCATTTTAAATTTTTCAATTGGGGATTGTTCTTTCTTTCTTTTTTTATATTTTTCTTAAAAATAAATTGCATGCAAATCAGCATTGTCTTTCTACATTTTCAACTAGTTTCTTGCTTCCTTTGTTTCGGGAATGAAAAACCATGGTTTCCACTTCTAGTTGTTTTGATCGATCTTGCTATTGTAGCATTATCTTTTGTTTTTCGTTTAAAAATAGGACTCAAATTGAAATGTAATAGACTTTCTTGACCAAATATGAAAAAGTAAAGTCGCGATATTAAATAAGAGTTATTGGGTACAATTTTCTATTTTTTTTTATATGTTTATCATTAATGTAACCTCAAAAACATTGGAAAATATATAGTAAACTGCAAGAAAAAGTTTTAATTTTAAACTGATTACGTTTCGTAGAGAAACAGTTCATTAACAGAGATAAAAAAAACTAATTATTTCCTCTAGAGAAATTTGTAAAAAATGATGATGTGCAGATATAAAAAGTATAAAATGTTGTTCGAAAGAACAAAAAAGTGTGAGAATAGATTTATAACAAGACATTTGATCAAGATAAAAGGAACATAGGTCTTGCATGATATCACTCAATCATTACTTGTCAGATGTGAAAGAATAAAATATGGAATTGTAAAGTTTGTAGAATTTCTAAGTTAAATGTAAAATGTAAACACGAGTAGGATATCATACTCAAAGATAAGGATGGATGAAACATTTCATCGATACTGACGAAACTATTCTTCTTTCGTACAATATTGTGACGTATAAATTGCGTGTCTAGGCATTCTGTCTAGATAACAGTAGTGTATATGACAAAGACGAAGATTTGAGACACTCTTCATGAGGTATTTCTATATGACAGAATCATCCGCTTCTCAAATATTTATATTGTTGTAAAAATATTTTTAGTTAAAAAGTAACCAAAGCTATTGTCGTGAATCATAATTGTTTGTTTTTTTAATTTTTTTAAACTTACACAGTTTTGTACGTTTCTTATAAAAAAATATCTACGATTTCTTTAACGATTTTACATTTATAATAATCAAACATTAGAAATTTTAATTTCAATAGGATTATCTTAGTCTTAAATAATATTCTCTAAACAGAAAAAATAATATATAAATTAATATATACAATATGTGTAATTCCTGTCTATTCTATTATTGTTATGAATATGTTAATACAATGGCATTTTATAGAATGATTTCGTAATATGTTATCTACTTACATAC